GTTATGTTTTCCACTCCTCAGACCCGTCGTTCTGTCTCTCTGTGTGTCCCTGCTGACTTGAACGAGTACACAAGCGCTTGCTGGGAAAATGTTATGTTTTTTTGTTTCGGGTAATTTTTTTTAATTGCCACTGTTTTTAAATGTAAAAAGATGAACTCGCTCAGGGAGGAAATAAAGTACTGAAATGTTCAAGTCGAGTACATCAGCAGCAAGTAACGATAGATAAAACGCGTTCCCGTCTGAATTCCTTAGTCTCTGCGTTTCTCGCGTTTGCCCGTAGGGTGCGAGAGCTTATTAACATGGTGGTTAACACAGCGAGGGCGTGCTACCGGCGCCATCGGCTCGAAACTGGGAGAGAACGCGCCGCTAGGTCCCGATTAAAAACCGAGGTGAAGATTTAATAGGGTCGGGTCAATGCAGACAGGATCGATCTAGTAAGAACCCCATACGTAGTCTGGCTCCCCTGATTGCCAAAAATGTCCTCTTAAAGATCGATTTTAGGAATATGTCAGGCCAAAATGGAGCGCTAAAAGGGTGCTTAAGAGAGGAGGTAGAGATTGAACAATTGTAGCCAGCGGCGGAATATCGTGTCGTTGTTCGTAAAGTCAGGGGTGATTGTGGGCTGGCAAAGGAAGGGGTTAGTTGAGTTAATATGGGCGATAAAGACATTAAGGCGGTACGTTATCGCAACATTAACCGCACTTTGATTAGTGCTGTTTGATCACCAAAACACAATGAAAGAGATGAAGACACTGTCTTTGGTATTATGTCGAACGGCTCATGATCGTCCACCTTTCATGTCCAAAGTTTGTACCTGAAAAAAATATACTACACCCACTCTTATTATAAGTAAAAAATGTTTCAACACTTGGATAGGGTTTTGATAGATTTTTCCTTTAATTAAAAAAAAAGTTGGAAGGTCAATATCTACAGGTGAAAATGCTATACATGGCCATCGCAAAATGAAGATAGTAGAATAACTCTCTGTAGAATAACTCTGTGTACGACTATAAAGTCGTACCTAAAAACCCTGAACCAAATTTCAGTTGTTCATATGGAGGTTGACAGAATCGAATGTTATCAATCAGAACACAAAAGGCAATGCTGTTTGGTTTGACAGATAACAGAAAAAAAAACTGTTCTTCAAAATAAAAGCGAGATTCAGGCCTTTGCCAAATTGACCCAGCGTGTCGGTGCAGACACCCTCGTTGTAGGTAGCGGTACCTCCGGGAACAATAGATTCTTAATTTAACCACGAACGTGATTTAACGGCCAGCCAGAGCGCAGATATCTCGTGGGTGGCTCCCTGGCGAAGTACTAACCATACGCACGGGTACCGCCAGAAAAAAAGGAATCGTGCTCAACAACACGGGCCACTCTGCCCTCATTATACACCGTCAAAAAACGCAAGTCGCACCGCGCAACGGCTCTCTTGGGAAGCCGTACGGTTATGGTCTCTCTGACGGTAAGCGATGCGAGAGTTCAGCATGCCGGCATGGGATATCAGCAGCGTAGATCACCGTCCCAGCTAAATGTAAAGAGCGGCTTGATTGTGGTTTTTCGCCGGCGCAAATCTCCCAAGAGTGCATTCCAAACATGAACTTAAATAATTTTGCTAGACCAGGCTTTGGCTGTTGACCCAAGAGAATGTTATCACTCTTATTTTTTATTGCCGGTCACAACTATATCACCGTCACTAAAAGCCACAATGCTTTTCCACTGGCAGGCAGTCGCGCTGCCAAGCACCCAATACTCGGGGATCCTTTTCCTCCTGCATTTTTACCAGTGAAACAAGACGAAGAGGCGAGCAGAACTTGGGACCCGATGTCCCGGATAATTGAAGGGTGAAGAAAGGGACTTGGTTGGACAAAGGTGAGAGAGATGTGAGTGTACTTCGGCCGATTACAGAGACCACGTGCCATGTCCGGAGTGACAGCTCAAAGGACTGACGGATGGCAAGATGGTCAGTGGGCACGAAACTACTTCTTCCGCCTGGTAGATGTAGTGAATCAAACGCGCTACTACATGTATTCGCTTGCTCCGTCCCGCCACAACCTCCCCCAAAATCCGTAACTGTGCCGGCAGACTCTATTTAATATAGTCCGATCAAATCCATTAAACACTTCAAGCTATCACGGTACGGGCATCCGGCTCGAGTAAGGTTCGCTCGCTGGTATCGGTTTAGGTTGTTCAGTCGACAGTTTTCTCGTATAACCCACTTGGCATGTCATTGCGGCCGGCCAAAGAAGGAGCGCCGTTCATGGTCTGGAATATCAATGAAGCCCGCGATAAACTGGAGGCTGGAAGGGGGAATAGCACGCGAGCGCGTGCGCCTCCAATCGGCACGAATCTACCGTGAGACAGCCCCCCCCTCCAAAAAAAACCGACAGCGCACGCGCTGTCAACCTGTGTGTGTGGGTGTGTTTTTTTACCGTGCCTTCTTGATAACAACCCCAGACTGGTGCTTCCTCCTTCCCTTCCCCTGCTTTCGTGGGGGGGGGGCATTTAGTAGACGCAGCCCTGCCCTGCATTTTCATCCTAAATGCCTCACATTAGAGCGTTTTCCGAGTGCTTGACTGTATATGATGCCGCAGTTCCGCAAGCGATCAGGTTTCGCCTGATAGTCCATTTTCACCCGCGTTCAGACTTCCAGTGCTTGTTCCCCACCGACCGTCAGATATCGAGGCCTCTCCCCCGTTAATGGACAGGACGTTCGGCCCTTTTGCCGGTTCTTGATACGTTTCTCAAGGATTGTGCCCCGGGTAGAAAATGAATTTTTGGCCCAGGGGCTGCCGCGACGCTGGGTTGCACTTGGAGGTAAAGAGCCTTGGGAACACAGGAATCGAATTGCCGGGAACCCCCCGCGGCCAACAAAAGGCGAAGGACTCAAGCACATCTCCTGGCCTCGATGGAATCGAAACCCTTTCTGCTCCTTCTATTTCGTCTTAAAAAAATCTCCACCTCAGTCATCCACTTTCTCTGCAAAGTCCCTCAGCTCTAAACAAAGATCTCACTGAATCTCTCTTGTGGCCCAGATATTAACGAAGTCAATTAATTTCTGATTCAAAGTTTGTTCGCTGTGAGATTTGGACACTCTGAGGGACTCCTGGGAAGCACAGGTGACAGAAGATAGGACTACCATCGCTGCTTGTGTTTGGATGCGGATTTAATGGACGGCGTTAAAAAATGGCGGTGACGGTGGCGGTGAGAAGTTGAGTAAGATGCAAGAAGGATAACAAAAAAAGATTAGAAAGAGCATGGGAACGATAGTGGTGGTGATTTGGCGATTTTGTATGCCGATGGGGCCGATGAAATGAACGATGGTGACGGTGGGGATCTTGACAGTGGTCTGATGGTAAAGATGAGTGATGAGGATCGTGTGAGAGGATAAAAGCATATATAGACATACAGTATAGACACTTCTTTGACACAACTAGCAAAGTGTCGTTGGCTGTCTCAGTTTTATTCTTGTAATTACCATTCATTATTCCAGATACGGGCGATTCACAATAGTGCGCCACCAAGAGTTTGCAATGCGTTGGCTAATCATGACGCGCAAAATTTGTCGACCCTTTCCAAACGCGCACTGGATCGACAAAATTTCGCGCATTGTGATTGGCCAACTTGTTGCAAACTCTTGGTGGCGCACTATTGTCAAACGGCCGTATTTGTTGTCCTAAAAACAAGCCGCTATCAGCAGTATTTACACCAATGTCCCGAACTACCGCCAAAAGCAATGTAAACCAATAAATGCTGAATGTTTCCTAATACGCAATCTTTCGGCATTGACAACCAATTTACGCCCACCTGGTGTACATCTCAGAGGCTTGTCTAAACATTATTCACCCGTCCTTGTTAACCAGGTTAGATTAATAACCTTTCGCTGTTCGCGGCTCTGGGTGTTCAATCAGGGCCACCGTACAGGTGGGCCCCATCTCGGACGAGTGACGGTTCAAGGAAACTATTCGACTTAGATACATGACGGCTGTTGCGTGACGTAAAACGCTGACATTTGGGGCGTTTTCGTAAGTCAGACGCAAATAGATCGAATCGGTTGACAGATTGTTAACATCTACGGGAATACATACATAGTACCCCACGAAATTCCTTCTCTATTTCGAACCAGTTTGGAAAATATGACCTCTACATAGACTTCAAAATATGAAGAGTCCAAAATCTTAAACCTTGCTTTCCATCTGTGGCTATCAGTGAATGAAGTTCCAATTTCTCTTACATAGGTAGTTATGTAATAAAGTAAAAATAAATTTAAAAAAAAGAAGACGAACACCTCCTCCTTTGTTTCCTTTTATATATCAAAATGCACTTAATATCCTCCAGTCCCATAATATGAGATAACAGGTAGGAGTTGTGTATTGCGGCTTTGTCGATTCTACCATGCCTATTACTAGCTCAGTAATGTCTCCACCAGCCACACTGTGGCAGAGCGTCCAACGGTAAAAAAAATTCTACATGATTGTCGTGAACATGACCGACAAAAGATTTTCCAAAATGTGCTGACGATTACACTTTTTTGTGCCTTACACTATTGCAAAGCTCAGCGTGAGTCACTGGTCTTTTGAAAAACATCTAATATTAATAAACAACACAGCATCAAGACAGTGGGAATGAGATATGACATGTGTCTAAGGCACCAAAAAGCTGCAGTTGATGGAAACACCAAAGTGGATAAATTCACTATGAACTTGATATTCCCTTTTTAGGAATCCATTCAATCCATAACGCCAAAGATTATAACTACTGCCCTACTAAAATGTCAGCGCGAATGTTTCATGACAAAATGCCATCAGACAAAATTATTAGATGACACTAATTCCATCTTTAAGAATTATCACCACACCAGCGTTATATTAAATGAGGCCTTTGTAAACAAAATTACTCTGACCAACATTTAAAGTTTACAGTCCAGTTACAAACTACGCCAGTTTTGACGGTCAGGTCTGGCTAGCTTTAAAGCACCACGCGACAGACCCGAGACGTGTATAGTTATAGTGCAAAAGTCGGCGAAAATATTGTAGTTGGCAACCTCTTGGATTTGTGCTTTGTTTTGCTTCGTTTTTTGTTGATTCTGCTTAGTTTCTGTTTTCTTTCTTTCCACGAAAACAAGTTATCTGGTATACCGATCGTCGGCGGCGCTTCCTACCGGCTTGTTTTCGGTGAAGTGGACTTCTCACTCGCCCACTTCTGTTGTCTATCCACGGGCGGAATACCACCTCAGTCGGCTTGGTTTTCCGGAGAATCGGAAAAACCGTATCACGAATCTCATCTCTATACATCCTGACTTCGGGGCCCTTTCGTTCTCCCCAACCACCAAACCGCAAAGAATCTGCTTCGAAAGGGGTTTTTCTTGGTTTCTTTCTCTCTTTTATCTCCGTGGATTTCGGTGTTACGCGGGTGGTTTGGGTTTCACGGCCGCTTACCCACCGGCGAAGAGGGTCTGACACCTGGTTCCCCGTCGCGGCTCGGGCTTCGACGGAGCGGGCAGGAAACTAGCGCTGAGTGCGGGGCGCGGTGTCTGGTTCAGTACCAAAGCTGATTACAGTCATTCGAGCAGGAAGGAAGACACGGCGGAGGAATAGGAGAGAGAGTGGCTGATGCTAGAGGAGGACAGAGGAGACGGACCAAGGAGAGTCACGAAAAGATGGGAAGTTGTAGATGTAGAAGGACAAAAATCACGCGCAGGAAGTTGGACTCGAGAAAAAGAGAAATGGATATACACATAATTGAGAAAGGGAAACTGTGTATAACAAACATAACACACGACAAGACCTCATAGGATGCTCCTATCCCCACTTGGTAGCCCCGCCCCCCAAAGAAAATTCCTCCGTGTGCCCATGCCTTTTGCTACAACGTGTACTGAGCAGGCCAAAAATACTGGGATCCTAGACTCGCTGCAATAGTAACGCTGACAGGAGCCACTGCCGAATTTTGATTAATGACTTTAGTGACATTACACAGAAATATCTCAGCATAATGCACTTTTTTAATGAAAGTCAGCAAACTGGTTAGACCAGGTTTAACTTTGCGCTGTAGTTAAGTGTCGCACGACTTGCTAAGTTCTTTAATGAATTTCGAGTTGTCTCAGTGCAAATCTATATTTCAAATAAACATGGCACGGATGTTTAATAACATTATCACGAAGGGCAGTTATTAAACACACCCTCTACTGCACTCTGACTGCACTTAGCACTTGGAACGTGCCCCTCGGTAATAAAAATAAACATTTACAAACTCAGCCTGGATTTTAAATAAACCTATGGGTCTAACACGCGCCATGAACCAGGTTTGTTTCGATCTGGTGAGGTGTTTACTGCGCGACAAGCGGCCGAGACGGGAGGTCATAGGCACAGCATTCTCACATCCAGGGTTGAAACCTGAAAACGCTCGACATGCATTATAACTGGCATCACACAACAGCACTGACATTGCTATTAGGTAGCCTAACCTCTGGCATCATCCCGTGAAGTGTTAAGCGTGGTCAAACTGACAAAACTGCTGGGAGCTTTTCAAGAACCTCATGCAGTTTGCAACCTGATCGTTAGAAACCGCTAACAAAGGACCGTAACGTTGGTGAATTATTTTTGCACAAATTTCCATAATAAAAAGAAAGTTTTTCACACTATCTGCGCTGAAGTTTATAGGATGTAGGTTGAAGATGACTTGCACTGTAGGTTGCGTGTGATGTATAACGTCAGATTCATTTCAAAAATAAACAAAACTGCTTTGGATGTTGTGATGCGTGCCACCCCTCTACAAAATAAGAGTGCAGTTAAAGTAATTTTGAAGTTGGCTTCAGAGTCCCACGGGACGGCAAGACACCAACAATATCCCCCTTTTCCCTACCTCGCGCTGCCGGCCTGACTTGGGTTTCAATTTGGATGAAAATCGACTACTGTACAGCTTCTCAATCGTTTCAGGTTTTTTCTCTATTCCTTCTCTCCTTCTCCTGTCTATTTACTTTGATTTGCTTTCCATCCACGCACCACTCCGTGTACACACACTTCGCCCCTCAAATGCTCCAAGTCTCAAGTCTTCCCTCACTCGCTATCCCCGTCCCCCTCGTCCAAGTAGCCGCGTTAGTCAATGAAGTATTAAAAGAACGGCATCTGGACGATGTTTGGATATGCGCGGCCAGCCTCCCATACTCTATTTACTATTCCACCTGCGATGCACACCTGACTGGGCCAACACTACCGAGAGACGACGGTTTAGCGGACGGGCACGGAGCCTGCATTGTAACAGCCCGTTAACTCTCGTCTCCGCAAGACCGAGACGCAGCTAAAAAAAATCGGAGCGGGAAAAGCTTCTTGGGGAGGAAAAGCTGTCGCCGCCCTGAATGGACTTGAAGGACTTGCTGGCGCGTGCCCAACTGCTGTTTGCAGTGATTTCATGCTTCAGACGACAACATTTAAAGGGCCGGCCAAATAGCTTTTGATTTGCTAAATTGCTCATCCAGGGTAAAGATGGGACAGAACTTGAATAGAAAATTGGCCTTATAGTTGGCCAGTATTTTTTCGCAGCTGCCGAAACAACAAACTCACATCCAAAGTAAAACTGAAGCCGACAAATTGGCGCCAAATGTTGACCATGATACTTGCATTCTGTATTATATACAGTGAACCCTATCGATAATCTTGCTGCGTAAATACACAATTGGTAGTAAATATGTATAAATACTTGGGAATTACATTTGATTTTATCGCATCACTTATGGCCAGTTTTACATTTAGATTCCCACTCTTGCAAACGTTTCAAATAGCATGATGCTGGGAACATGAATATGTTCCACATTTTTCCACACTCGGTTATTTTTATACACAAATTATAAATATTAGATTTATTTCTTTCAACCCTAACATTTGTCAAAATTTACAATTGAATTTATACTCCGTTTCAGTCAGCTGACACACCCTTGCGTGGGTTTTTTCGTCGGAGGGTTATTTTGATCTCAATGACATTGGTGGTAATGATCAGTAAGAATTGTTTCGGTGTTTCTGGCGTGGCTCTCCCACATTTTGTTTTCTCTTTCACCGTTCTCCTCGTCTCTCAGGATGACGTGACCCACCTTAGCCTCCGTAGTATCTTCGATGGAGGCCTCGCATGGCGGTTGTGGTGGTGGTGTCAACCCTGCTACTGATGATGATGATGATGCGAGAGTCTGGACTGCCAAAGGATGGTGGGACACGGGCAAGACTGAGTCACACTCGCAGGCCAGTCTTCTCCTCTGTCCTACCTCCTGGCCTGATATCCGATCCTCCTCCTTGAGACACTTCTCCTTCCTGCCTTCCATCCCATGCTCGCTTTCAGTCCCGGTTACTGCCACTGCTGTTTCTGCCACGGGAACGACTTCCACTTCCATTTCATCCTCGCCATCATCACGGCAAAGAGAGCCGCATCTCTCTTCCTGAACTCCATTCACGTCTTCGTCTTCCTCCTCTTCATCTTCGTCGTCATCGTCATCATCACCCGGAGCGGGAGCGGCCATGGCCCTCATGGGGGGCGAGGACGCTTTCTCGGCTGTTCCCGCCACTGCTGCAGCTGTTGCCGCCTCGCTGTTCTGTTTCTGCCGTATGGTGTCGATGTGTTTTGGTCCTCCAATCTTGTGCTCGGCTGCCTCTGCATTGGAAATCCCTTCCATCTTCTTCCACTTTGTGCGCCTGTTCTGGAACCAAATTTTTACCTGCGAACACCAAGTGACAAAGAAAACATTGTGAGGCCTCAAAACCACGTTTCCCCTCCATCATGTGGCAATCTAAGTACTAGTAGGAATCAGTCTCACCGCTGGTGCTAAAACATTTAGATAATCAACAAAAGGGCTTTACTGGTACCCGCACAACATTTTTTATCAGTTGCCACCACGCTAAATGAGAATTATGCTGTTAATTACTCAAAACTTAAATCCCCTCTTTCCTTAACTGTTGGTCATTACCAATTTTAAAAAGCCACATAAATCTACATTTTCAAGAGCTTCACACGGCAAGGACGAAGGCCGTCTTGGTCTTTGGCGTTTACTTTTCCGGTATATTTTACGAAACAAATGCACATCAAACCTGAGACATGAGAAGGGATTCAGATTTTCTACCAACGCTGTCCTGTACAAAAATGAGTTACATGACTTGTAGAAAATAAAGTTGTGGAAGTTACATTGCTATCACTCTTATTTGCTGAGAGATTTCGATTTCACAGACGCTATTTTCCACCAATCACGTGTGCCATACTAAAGCCTGGTATCCGGTTCGTAGGTGACTTTGTCACAAATGCGGACGCGCCACGATTTGCAGGCTCTCATTGGACAATTGCTGAAGTTGCGCGTTAACTTCCGGTTCCATGGTTCCGTGTAAACGGCGATCGAAGCATGTAACCCTATGAACAGTGCAAATGTGCAGTGGGAGTGGTTTAAACTGAAGTGACGTCACACTTAAGTACCGAAGTGAATACGTCACGCGCACAATTAGTGTGTAAAAGGCATTAGCGCAAGAACCAGTGCGTGAACCAACACGCGCGCGTACTCCATTCGTTTGCACTGCTCTTTCTGGTTCACAGTGACGTCACACTTCGGCACTCTATAGTTAAAGCACTGTGGTCTGTCACGATTCATGATTGATTCAGGTCCCTCGCCTGTAAATTGCCGACTTTCCATTACTCCTAAATTATGACGAAAATTAATACAGACGACGGCGATGAGTACACGTGTTTTCCATCGTCCCGAAGCGGTGTATGAATTATATTAACATAAACCATGGAAGAAACTGCGGAGCAAGCTCGAGAGTAGGCGACCTTTAACGAGCACAAAAGGCCTCTGGAAACATTAAGGAAATTTGTGACGAAAAATGTCACCAACAATGTTTAAAAAAACCTTAAGATATAAGCATGAAACTGCAGTGGAAATAATTTTTAAAGAAACATCTACCGAAAATTCCATATCACGAGAAGACCACACCACTAAAAAAAAGATGAGCCATGACCGATGAGATATCAGGGCAATAACTCGCGGATCAGCATTACCGAAAAGCGAAAACCCGGAGAGTCAATTATGTGGTAAAAACTACATAGCCCGTGACTAAAATGTTTTGCTACGAGAGCGGCTGAATTAAAAGATATTGATTTTTTTATTGAAATCCAAACGTCAGGGCATTTTACGCTTATTATTGTTTTCATTCCGGTAGGTGTGACTTTGTGCAGAGTCTAGTTGTAGGAGTGTCTGTTTAAAAGATTTAATGTAATATTTATTTTTGCGTATTCTCTTATTTTATTCTAGACATAAAAGTTATTTTTGAGGTGGAGGAATTGGGTAGCTAAAGTATACCAAGATGGAGAGACATAGGTCAGGTTTGCATCGTAACTGTTACTGACTTTCACATTCACTCGTTATCATGTCTCGACCCTACTTGGTCTTACTAAAGAGGATTTCCAATCAGAGCAAAAGAAAGCAGAAAATGAAGAAAGTGATGCCAACAAGGAGCGAGGAGGTTCTTGGGGAAAACGGTGATGACGGCGGTGACACTGCAGGGTCTTGTTTCATTGGTGGTTTAGGAGTTAACCCTCACGCATCCGTCCCACCAGGGTAGACAAACTGGATCAAGTCGGGCCCCCGAGAGTCTAACCCGTTTACACGGTCCCCCTCATCTTGTTTCCACTCGTGGAATACAGTCACACTCTCTTCAAGAGTGGAGAAGTCTTTTCTCGTCTTCCTCTTCACGCCTCCAACTCGGCCTTTTCCCGGAGGCGCAGAAAACAGACGGAGCCACCGGAGCGACATCCAGCCGAAAAAAAGCTCGGACGTCCCGCTACTGGTACGTGCAAACAGGACACGGGTAACTTTCTCGCCTTACCTACTCCGGAGCACTCGGTCGGGACCTGTCCCGCAGGCGTCGTAGGAGTGCTATCTTATACCCACTTCTACTATACGTCACCCACATGTGCGAGGGAAAAAAGGTGAGAGGCACAGAAAGGCAAGACAAAAAAAGCAAGACATGAAAAAGGTGTCACAGAATTTAGTTTACCATCAGCATCTATCGGCTATAATCACCACCGATCATTATTCCTTAGAGTGGTTAAGGGCATACTGGCCGATTTCTAGTCTGTTCAATTCACTCATTTGCAAGTTTAAGTACACATAAATAGCAAAGTCCACAATCGCGGCGCCAAATCATCTCCAATAGAGCCGACAAGACTTAGTGTTTATATCTATTTTATTTAAAACTGCAATATAGATGTCTCCGGCTGTATACAGTACGTAATGACATTAATAGCTTTCGGGTTCTAAATCAACTACTGAAAACATCTGATCTGTTAGCTTCAAGTTCATTGGCCAGAAGTTCCGATACGTTTTGTGGACACGCCTACAAGTCAATATAACGGCTTCAGAAAGTGCCTGCCATTTTGATACAAAGAGCCAAGAATTATGTGAATGGGCAACCTTTATAATCGTGAGGCTTTTAACCAATCACAATGCGCTATGTAAGCAACAGTACTAACCCCCCTCCATTTACACGAATCATGTTAAGGTAATGGAATGCCATCTTGCCGCCAGTACGGCCCCCGCTTTTACCCTCAAATCCATTATTTTCCGATTACAGTGCCTCTGTGAATTACCCTTAAATGGTTGAGAAAACGACTGTCCCATCCCGACAAATTAACTACCTGGAAGATTAAAAGGGAAGAAGACAGAAAAAAATGGCTTAGCGAGACGGAAAAAAACTTCCGCAGTTGATTGTGAGCAATGGGATCGTGTGGGCAATTCCAAGAGTTAAAACGCGCCGCGATGTTGCCCCGTGTTCGGCAAGCGAAACCGTAATGGGTTGTGTTATGGGCGACGGTCTAACATCGCTGTCGACTCTCCATATAAACGCGAAGATGCAGGAGATTAGCTTCTATGCACGCATGCTCTATCACTGTTACATGGCTGTTGATAGCGAACAAGTTAAATCATTACACGGTCCCACGAACGAACGACAATATCTTCCTTCTGAAAGGTTTTTAAACACCAAAATGACTGTTAATGTTATTATCATCTCACCGACGACAGGCAATTATGGGTTCTGAAAGGACCGCTCTTAATCGACGAATTATGAAGTATGAGTGAAAGGGAATTTCATTGGTATACAGGGAGTCGTGGCAGTAGGATCAAAACAAAAGCTGGAAAAACAGCCGAGTAGAGGAAGGGTGGAAATGTACATTCGGGGCCCTGGCATTGACATGCTGTACGTGCTAATGACAGACCGTCATTTGGACCCCTGACAGTGACATGCTGTACGTTCCATTGACAGAATGTCAGTAAAGAGTACAAACTATAATGATAACGGGTGAACTAAAAAGACTCACATTTACCTTACGTACGAATTTTAATTAATGGTTCTTGGAAATATTTGCTTGAATTGCTGTGGTTTTGGAGGTCACTGTCTCGTGTCATTTTGCGGTCAAGTCGACCATGATCTTGTCTACACCATCGGCTAATTTCAGTCGGGAATCTTGTTATTGTTATCTGTTTGAAATTTGTGAGATCAGTGGCGTGTCCATTTAGTGATGAAGAGGTCTCTAAAATTTGTGCCCGAAATTTTTATTTTTAGAAATATTCAAAGTTTGCATTGTCTTCGTTACCTGAATAAACCAAAACGCATTCTTGAAGTGATGACATAATAATGTTAATTTGCTGAATGTTTAATTTGCTGCAAGTCTCCTTGAAAACCAATAATACTGAACGAACAGGGATTGAATGGAACGAGTGACGAGCTATGAACAATTTACCTGGGTGTCTGTCACATTCAGGAGGGTAGCTAACTCAGCCCTCTCGCTGGCAGAGAGGTATTTCTTGGCCTCAAACTGTTTCTCCAGCTCGAAGATCTGTCTCCCGCTGAACGTAGTCCTGGCTTTCTTCTTCTTCTCCTTACCGTCCGGCATCTCGCCTTCCCCCTTGCGCTTGCGGTCCGCTGCTCCGCCAGAATTCTCATCCTCTGGATTAGAAAGGAAAATGTTGCTGTAAAATCAGCTGTAGATTTTACTGAAAGAGTTACTTACACCCATTTTCCCTGAATGACCATATCCTTTGTAGAGGTTATTCTTCCCAGTGAGATCCCGTTTGGCATTCAGTAAAACCTAACTTGTGAGTTGAGGACGAAATACGTCTCTTTCTCTTTGTTTTGAGGGACCGTCCTTAGATTGCAATTTTACCAAAACTTTCAGAAAGAGGGACCCTCTTTAGGCCCGACCTAAATTTCTTTTGAACCAAACTTGTGAATAATATTTCAGAATGAATTTAGTTCCAACTTTTGTAACACCGACGTGGCATGTCACTTTTAATATAATTTAATAGTTTCTTCCACAATTCTAATCTTCTAATTTCACCTAGGTAGGCCTAGTTCTTAATGTTCACCTTTTAATATTCTAAATAAAATAATTGCGATTTTTTTCAAAATTTTCTTGTAAGACGAAAACAATTTCGGGTTGTTTTACCGAGAAATTTGGCCAGGAAATGTGTTAACTCGGATGATTCATTCTGTAAAACCAGATGGCAACAAATCATTTTATTTTTTGACGTAGTAAGTGTTGTTTCCAATTAGCCTATTTACACTTTTTCCAATATAGTCACTCTCATCAGATCCATGACATCATGTTGTTTAGCCATGAAGTCCGCATGCGCAGTTACAACGACAACACAAGTGATCTCGTAGACACAATTGACGGACTAATTGAGCTGTCATATGTTTTCACGCAAGGGTAAACCTAACCAAATCAATCCCTCTACAATTATGCAAATTCTCTTTTGGGTGTATTATAACTTACAGGACGCACTGCTTTGGTTTTTGAGGGCAAATTCACGTTTTCTTAAAAGATAAGATCAAACCCTCAACTGGCTTTTTAGAATATATTACAACCTTTACATTGAAAGCACAAGTGACTGATAATTTTCACAATTTATAAAGCACTGAAATTATTCAACCAAATTTTGTCTCAGTATGCGTAATTCTTAACTCTATCCTGTCCTCTATTACACAATTTATTGATCATTTAGCCATTATCATTATCTATTGTACACAAAGAAAATCTTATCGAAAACTGATCGATAAAAACTAGATATGTCAAGCGTCATTTTACAAAAAGAAAACGGATATCAGTGAAAATAAGACCTATACACAGAATAAATAATTCAACAAATCACCTCATGATTCATAATGTATAATTAAAAAATCCTAACAGATTGTGTAACCGCAGTTTAAAGTTCAACTTTGATAAAAAAGTGGCCGGTATCCGTTGAAGCTAACGAACCATCCGATAATTCAGGAATTCTGTAATTACCCTATGCCGTAATCATCTCAAGTGAATGACAGACTCATTAATGGCTCAAATTAAAGGACTCGTTTAATGGCCATTTAGCGAGACCCCTAAATGATTAAGTCCTGCCACTGGCAGCTTTCAGAAATCCTCTCCAGATGCAATTGCAATGATTTTTTTTTAAATCGTCGTTCCAGCTAGCTGAGAACTGCCTTAAGCTTTGAGCGAATTAAGAAAGGCTTTAAACAAAATGCGCATATGAGTGCTTATTGATGGAATATCTACGATTCATTAAATAAGAACTGAGGACTTGTTAGAATTTTCACGCTACAATATACATAACTGAACGCTCTCTGAGTCAAAATTAAAAGAAAACAGCGAGGATCTCAAGGGCATGTATTGTTTTTGTTTTTAAATCGTAATTTTCCAAAACGAATAAAACGAAACATAAATAGAGGTGAAATAAATTAATAAAACGTAAACGTTTGAGGAAACATGACTTCAAGAGTACTTTAAAATGCATAGACGGTTGAGGCAGTTGTCTCGATGAGGTCAATATAATTAATTGTCGTTCAATACTACGACATTATTTCAAGCCGAAACTTAGACAATAATCATTGTTAAGAGTTACAATTTACTTGCCGTCTACCTGTTTTTTAACAACTAGTTATACATTTTCGCCGGTAGTTATTTCGAGTTAAAAGGTCGCTTGGTAGTTATGCCCAAGTGGATGTTTTCTCCTTTAATTCCCACCCTCCTTCGACGGGAAACCTTTTACTGTCTTCAAAGAGCTTGATGGTCACTTGGAGAGCGGAGCCCAGCCGCGAGGAAGGTTCTTACCCCCCCCTGCATTCACGGAGGTCGGAAAGCGGAGGGCAAAGAAGAATGGAAGAGGGGAAAGGGGATGTCTTTTTTTTTCAAGCCTTCGCTTTGCATTAGGATTTCTATCCGCTCCTTTACAATCAGGTCTGAATGAAGAGAGCCGTGAAAGGCTCTCCCTGTGCTGCCGTACCCTGTGGGTGTATCAAGCCAGAGTTGAGTGGAGGCACCGCTCTTTGGCCTCATTTGCCTGGTCTTCCGCAAAGGAGGGGGAATAATGAGCGACGCGCTGATGGGCCGGATCGGAAGGGCTAAGTTTTAAGCACCACCGTTTGCTCCTAGGTGGTCCTGACTCTCTCGTTTTTCTCCCCCGTCGTCTTTATTATCCGTGATAGATTACCGGGCGGGGATGGAGTTAAGAGGGAGGCCTAAATCGGCCTTGCTGACTGAATAGAGGGGTAACAAAGTACCCAGGGCTATATTTAATGGTAGGCTAACCATTCATTAACATCAACGGAGAGAATTTAACACTTTAGTCAATCGAGGCCAGTCGCTTAAACGGTAGGCCTAATAAGTTTTATGGAGTTGCACTGCGTGTAGCTTTAATTGATTGAGGATGAGGTTTCCAAAAAATACTTTTTGCTTGATATATAAAAACCTGTAAGAGTGTTAGCAATCCATTTTGTCCTTGCAAATTATTTTCTAAGGAATGACAAGAAGAAACGACTTACCGTTGCTGTCAACGCTTTCCCGGTTGTCCGATGTGTGATCCGTTACAATTTCTACCACCTCCTTGCTGTGAGTTTTTGACTGATGGTGATGATGGTGGTGTCCGTCTTTGGCGTGCTTCACCACACCGCGTTTGTCCATATCAGCAGACAAATTGCCCGGCGAAGAAGACGCCGATTTCCCGGACGGCTTACCGCCACCGCTGACCACGGCGGGCGAGTCAGCCAGCGTCATGGCACGGGCGTGCTCGGCACTGATCAGGCCAAGCTTTCTCTGGCTCTCTGCGGCGGCAGCGACGGCCGCCTCGCGCTCCCACAGCCCGAGAATGTCGGCAATGTAGTACGGCGTAGGCCGCTTGGCCCTCGGCCGATAGTTATGGGGATGCCAGGTCCCAATTGCCACCACTGGAGGAAAGAACGCAGCAGCAGATACCACAGGCATGGGGTGAAACTTGGAAGAAGACAGACCCATAGCCAGTAAGTCTGTCCGGTATTGTGGAAACATTGCGACGAAGTCCCGATAGTTTGTCCAACTTTCTTTAAATGTAGATATCGAAGTGACTTTAGGTGTATAACTTGTGAATCCCAATCCAAAGTGATTACAGCTTTAAGTGTAGAAATGTTGAGCATTCACAGCACGCAGATAGAGTCATGATCTGAACGTCGCGCTCTCAACTGCTTAGCGTCTCTCCCCGTACCAAACGATGAGAGTTGCTTCAACAACGTCAAATGGCTGATAATTGATGGCTAACGACCCTCCACATTAAACAAATGGATACAGTGAGGGGACAAGCAAAGGACGGATAATTAAAAGCATTTACTGATGGACGAGGAGAATCTTCCATCCAGCGTGTGCAGAAATCGACGCGAGGAATCTCCAGTTTTATTTTCTCTTCAACGTCGCTCAGGAGAGATGAAAAAAAGTCTTGAAGATGAGAAGCGGTCCAACGTCACCAGACAGAAATGGCCATACCGGCCTTGTTCGTCTACTCGGTGGGCCGTGCTGTGTGCGCGAACGTCAGAGATAAAAGTTTGACTGACTGGCAATACCGATCAGTCCAATCGCTCAATAGAGAACCGTTTATAGAGGGTGTCCCTTTTTATGGACCTCACAAAACGGTGGCTGTGTGGTGTGGTGTAGGTCGGGGCGGGTTCGCGTGGTGCGAGCGTATAGTCCCCCGTATAGACGGCCTGGCCACACTAAAGGCGCGACAAGCACTGGCTCGGCGAGCCCTTCAATCGCTAATGACCGTTAAACACCGGCATGTGATTTACCAACACCTTGGACGCCCTGGAACTCTTTGTGCTGTGTCACCCACTTTCCAGTCCAAGTGTGACTAGTATACAAAAGGCATCAGGTCCGTAGAAGTGCAAAGGCCTATGGGTAGGGGTTGACACTTTGCCACTATAGTATTTAAGTATCGGTGTGCCGCAACTTGCTGGCTGACAATTGACTGGATGTGGGGTAGTCGATTGATGGGTGCGTGATTTTCACTCGGGTCAAGTAATCTAGGGTATAGGTAATGATTAAACCACCATTGAATTAGTGAATTTTTCCAAGTCAGCTGGGCTTCACAATGGAGCTGGAAGTACTCCCCCCCCAAAAAAGACAGAAATATCAAATAGGTTTATTTATGATAATAGGTTTTCTTCTCCGTAAAGATTTCAACACCAGTTTATCACTCCCTCATGTGACTCGTGGAGGAGACTAAGTGCGCACGCGTACTACCATTTGGTGAAAGAATCTGCCTGTTACATGTCAGCCCGACTGTAGTGATGGATCCCCTAGAGCATTGGTGGACCCATTAAAATCATAGTGTTCGGAATGTATGCAACCTTCTGGGCCTTCTGACGATTAGGTCGTCATGTGACCCCTTCCCCTCTGACCAATGATGTAATCCATCTACAATTTCTCTGTTTTCTTGACTTCGCTTCATAAAAGAAGGCTCGCATCACATTTCCCGCGACAGAAATCTTACAGCAAGCGATAAGATTGTGCGCAGCGCCGGCTTGATGGGTCATGTCGCACGTGGAATGAGAAAATATAAATAACGGGTACACATAATTCAGTGGAGAGAACAGTAGCAGAAAACACATACAGTGCTTCTGCACAGGGTCGTGCCTATCACTCAACACGACCCCGCAATGAGCCGATTGCAATAAACAAACATTGAAGGGAACGAGGTTAGCATTGACAATTAAAACCGCCTGGAGGGCTGGTTGTGACTGGTTTGAGTGGCGCGAACTGAATCAGCCCGTCAGTTGATCTGGCCTCCATGATCTGAACCATTTGACGGTCTGGCTTTGGCATTCCTGTCCCACTATAAAATTACATCTTCGACGTAGAATTTCCACACATCTTCAAAAAGGAATTATTGAAGAAAAATGAGACTCAAGTCCATAATAAATTTATTTCTGCAACTGGAGTGTTGTGACTGGCTCAAATTGGATTAGTTCACTTGTTAATTGATTGGTTCGCGTCCCGCCTGTTCAACAAGTGACAGGCTGAAGAGATATCCGTGGTTCCAGGCCAGTTTCGGGTTTTAATTACCAGACTTTTATCTCAATCTGTTATCAACGCGGAGGCTTATTAGCCAATTTCCGCCATTTATCGGGACGCTCCTGGCTGGGAGGCCAGACCTCTGTTGACACTGCAATTACTCGCGACTGTTTCCTCCAGTTTGCTCGACAAGATTGAAATGATGAGAGGGCGCAAAGATGCCCAACCGGATAGGAGTCAATCTGAACTCGGCGCAACTATGGAGGAATACCAAATTCCTCCGTGGCGCACAATTGACCCCCCCCCCATTGCGTGCATGGGCATAATTCATCAGGATGATACACCTTGACGGCTTTAAGGTGCTTAGGTTTCCTCGGTGGTGTTACATGAAATTTTGCATTGCAGGAAATATGAACTTACGCATGTACATCGCATGCACACTAACAACAAGACTCGGAGTCGCTTCAAAGACTGCAAACCCTAGGTCTATGCTGAAATGTGAGCTACTTTTTGTGCGGGTCAATAAAAAAAGTTAGAATAAAAAAAGTTAGAATAATGCAGCCGGAAATTTTAGTTCTTCAAATGCAGGTTAGTCTCAGTCCTACAGATAAGAGCATAGAGGAAGGAAAAAGATACAAGCGAAATTGTTCCTAGGGTTGTGAAATTACACCAATAGCTTATGTAGGCCTACCTTTCAAACATTTTAATGTTAACCGATTTGCAGGAATCTGTGGTCAAGCAGTTACATCCCCGTTAACCTATTTTCTTTGTAGCAAAAACTCATCTATCCACTCGTTTATCAGTTTGTACCCGGGACCCGTGCCTGCGTCCGCAAACCCATTTACCGTGTTTACCCCCCTTGCCCGATTTGGAATGAAGAAGAAATGACTCATATAAAGAGCCGAGTCAACAGTCCTTATTACCCGGCGGTCGTGTTGCTATAATTTGGAGGCTGTCCTTGCATTTGTGCGGACCGTTTTGGGATTATTTGCAAATGCAGGTCTTTTTCTTTTCTTTTCAGCGAGAGGGGAGAATCGGCAGGCTTTTAGCATCGAATACTTGAAGTCAGATCGTGCGGAACGGGGAACCCTATTGGCCGTGGCCAAGCGGGTCACAGCCGGTAAAAGCAACCGGCTTTAAAGCTGTCGTAGCTTGATGACAAAAATGCAATATAGAACGAGGGGAGCGGCATGAACTGTAGATTTTTTTCAACTTCTAAGCCCATAATTCTGTTACATATGATGTATAATTATTTCTTAGCAAATGAAAATTGTCACAATAAGGTCAGATCTGTAGGTCTTATTTTATTAAGCCACCGGCCATTATGGAGTTCAATTCAGGACCAATAATATTCACCAAAGCTCTATTTAAGCCTTTATTAGCCTTTATTAGCCTAATAAAAATACTTCTTACTAAAATGGCCGCCATACCCACCAACATGACCGATTGGTGTGCACGTCTAGTCTTCCTTTTACAGGTTGCAAAAGTAAACCTGTGTTTTGTTATAATTCTGGACATATTTTCACCTCATCTTCTCGAACAGCTTTTGTTCAATAATAACGACAGTGCCTGGCCACCGCCTGCCTGCTCTTTTCTACAGCGACCATCGAACCATAGAGACATAGCCGTAAATGGGCCCCGAGTAATAATGGTACATGTAAATCACGCAAGGTCGGTTGATAAGACAACGACAATTTACGGCCTCATTAATCGCACCTAAAGAGGTGAACCTGGGGGAAGATGGAATTCAGACACCCTTCAACTGCCGCAGGAATTGAACGTAATGGTAAGACATGAGAAGGGCAGGCTCGGTGGGGTTAGGAAAGAAACCTCTTAATGTCTTTCCACACCTTGTGTGGCTCATGAGTCCCCTGGGTCGTGGCCTTTGAAGGTGCTTTCCCAGACTCACACAATCCTTGAAGTCCTTGCTTTTCTCAAATACTTTGACTTCTTGTGAAGGGGGTGGGGATGTGAGGAAAGAAAGCATATAACGTGTAGAAAGAGGGAAGACAAAGGAAAGGGACTACAAGTTGGTGTCCTGGTGCATGCCTGGTGGTACTTCGTGGGTTCTTAGCATCGTATGAAGTAATCCACTTTCAAACACAGACCCATATCCCCCTCAACTGATAAGATATACCGAGCACGCGCTGGACGTGCACAATCGGCCGTCAGTCTGCGCTGCGTGCGCATGCAGACATCTGCGCATGCTTACAGAAAGTCTTCAATATCAACCATGGTCTCCAGTTATCCGGCTCAAACCCACTGTACTGAGCCCGTGACAGCAGTTTGTGGCCGTGTTTATTTTTTATTAGCCGTCAAGCAAAATGCTGCACTTGATCTCTCTTGACCCAATCGTGCTGTCTGCGTAAAAAGGTTTCCATAGAAACTGCGGAACTCCAGATCTCTTGCGATCTGTCGATTTGTCAAGTAGCTGACGATACAGCGTTTAGACCCCTACATGACGGACAGAGGCAAATCTTTCAACATTATTTTGACAGAAGATCACACCATCTTGGTTCATCAGAAGCAATGGATAGGTCAGAGTCAATGCCCGTACCTTTAATCCCTCACGTGGTGAGGCAGATAACGTTTGTTTTCCTGTCACAGTGTTAAAAATCCAGCAAACGACAGGCACCGGCCCCTAAACCAACCAGAAATGTCACTGTGGGTTCTCATTCTGGCACTCATTCCCTTCACATTCCAAAGCAGGGTTGAACAAGTACTTTTGTTGCCTCTTCTTCAGAAAGGAATCAGTTTAATCAACCAGTGCAGAACTTTCAACCGTGAGTGCTCCCATTTCTTCCAATTTTCACAGTCATAGCAAGAAACTAGTTGGAATTGAGGTTATGAATAATTTATATCCATATTTTTGTTTGTGTTTCTTTCTTGTTTAATTGACACTTCATATTTTGTTACCTTATAACAAGTCAGATTTCCCCATCCCACGCAATGGTGTGGGTTCGTTCAGTCAATTTAGTTGGGTAATGTTTCAACTGTTTTGTCATCTGAAGCCTTGTATCCGAATATTGACAGCTTCTGGACATGCTAAGGCGTACCACAATGGGCAGGTGTCATGTGACCTATATTAAGCAGGTTGAACTATACTCCAACTCAGCCCAAAATCAAGGGAGATCGACAAGTACTGATTGCACCTGAAAGTAAGTACGGCAAGTCAAACGATGTTTTTGTCATGCTGTGTATTAGCCTATTAAGAAGTACGAACTGAAAAAAACAGACAGTCCCTGTGCTTTAGGATAGCTGGAGGTGTAGGGGCGGGAGGAAATGCATCGTGATGCTGCGCTTGCGACTTTCTGACGGCATTACAACTTTGTGGAAAAGCTTGTTGGCTGTGCAGTAGTTTCATCATGGAAGAAAATATTAACGCCAAGCTTCAAACTGTCCAAAGAACAGACGAATGGTTCCTGTAAACATTAAAGTCATGAAACTTGATCACTAATCATGCCTAGGACGAGTGGTTACAATTTGTCGTCGAGGTGGGGGCGGAACGAGAGTGTAAAACACAATATCCTCAGGCCTGACAGGGCGCGAAAACAACCAAATAATGGGACATGGGGGGGGGGGAATAATTGGAGGCAGGTTCGAGGTGTTAGTTGAGATAACTTGTAGGGCGTGCCGATGCCCAACGAACGACCGCAAGGTGATTGGCAACACGTGGGAAGAAGCTAGCAGTGGCTTGGTCGTCATGGTAAACAGGAAAAGCGTGACAATGTTGCCGGTTCG